AATCCTTGTAATTTCAAATATCTAAAATAATCTGTTGATTCTGTTTTCCAAAAACTACTTACAAAGCAGAAAAATAATTTTAAAGTAAATTTTTTTGAAAGTTGAGAGAACTATTATTATTATTTTTTAACTGGGTTAACTCCCTAATTAATGATTACCTCATTAATTATTTCTGGTAAACTTTATCTTTTCTATATCTGGATGTATATTTCTTTTTTTTTTTTTTTTTTTTATATCTGGATTTATTTTTCTTTTTTTTTTTTTTTTTTTTTTTGAGAGGTCTTTGCTATAGGGTGCGTGCGCTCGCCAGACAGACAGAGACAGACAGAAAGCGAAAAATCACCCCCCAGGGGGGATGGCCACACCACACTCTCTTCTCCTCCATTCTCCTCTTGGGATCTTGGGCACGCACGCACATGCGCCCAGCATGAGGTTTAAGTCATCGGGTCCGGGATGCAAACCGCGGTCGACTACATGGGAGTCCAGCGACATAGCCATTACGCTAACTGCTGGTCCCTGGATGTATATTTCTTAGGATTTTATTTCTGGATTTGCTCTTTCCTATAATGTAACATACATGTATATGTGCAAACATAATAAACATATTGTTTTCCATTGAATAAAAATTTTAAAACACTTTATAGTGAATCGATCATGTTAGTTTCTAAATTATTAGTTTTATCCCTACATCTCTACCAAGCTATTTGGAAAATTAACTATAATTAAGTTAAAATAGGATTTTTCTGGCTAATCTAAAAGGTACCAATATATTCATTGTTATATTTTCTAGGCATTTACATTGTTTGCTACACATTTTCTGGAACTGTGCCATATGGATGTCCTGTATCCTAATGTAGAAAACATGCATTTTGAAGTTCAGCATGTAAAGAATACCTCAAGAAATAAAGATGCAATTTTATATACCTACAAACTTTCTAAAGGACTAACAGAAGAAAAAAATTATGGTATCACATATAGAAATTATTCCTATACATTAAAACGCTACACATTCTCCTATGATGAACTTTTTCTCTTCTTTACTTAACTGTCAGTCTAAGCAACCTTACCTCACAATCTTCTAAGAGCTTTTGTGTACTAATATTGTATTTCTGGGACCAGCAGGTGGCATGGTGGTTGAGGCGCTCAACACTCCCACATGACTGACCACTGTTCAAATCCTGGACGGGGTGGCTCTTTCTCGCTCTCTCTCTCTCTCTCTCTCTCTCTGACTGATCAAACTGGAAAATAATAGTAATAAATAAAGTTAAATAAAATAATTCTAAAAAAAAGATTGTATTTCCTATGTCAAACTCTGATTGTGTATTAATATTTGTCTTATTCTTAACTTAATATGAACCAGTAACTGTAGAAATATAATGACACTTGAAAGCCCCAGAATCTCTCATTTTTATCCTTAGAAAAAATATAATTTAGTTTATATTTGTAAGTTATATAATGAATTGAAAATGATTTATTTCCTACATACTCTTTTAATAGCAGGTCTTTCCTCTGTTTTCTTCACTTTCAGGGTACATGATAACTAAAGTCTTAAAAGAGAATCTATTAGCAAACTCTATGATATTCTTAACTTGATTAGATACATTCTACATCATTGTGTGACATGTAAAATAATCTCACAGATTCAAAGAATGTTTAGTTGATTTGTGCAAATAAAGTTCCCAAAATTATGTTAGCTATGTATGTGACCCTGTTGATGGAAAGAAAAGAATTTTTGTTTTGCTGTTGAAACTGAGTAACACTTTTGTAAGATGCTTAATCTTTCTAAGTCTCAATTTCATTATCAGTGAAATTGAGGTAGTTTTCCATATACATGAAGTGGATAAGATTCAGTGAGTTATCAAATGTGAATTACCTAGCATAGCACCTAGCAATTAATACCAACTTAATAAATGTCGATGTTATTTTTAATACTTTTAAGGCACTAAATATATTAAACTGTATAAACACAGTAGAAACCTTATATGGCATTTATACAACAAAATGAAGCTCTGAAAACAGGAGAATAATAGTTGATACTATAAGTTTGCACAAAGCATATCTTATATATCATAAATACATGATATATCTTCTATACATAATATGTTCTAAGAAATTTATCTCTTACTGATATGAGAGGAACACTTAGCTGTAGGTTGTCTCTGTGACTATACTTTCTCTTCCCCTGCAAAATCCATATATCCTTTGACTTTCTGTTAGCTAACTGTATGTATAATAGGAATTTTATGGTTATTATTTTCTAATTAATTATTTTCCTTCCTACAATCTCTGAGATATATTAAAATGTAATTGATATTCTAACTTGCATTATATTCTTGGAGAAGTAATTAATCCTAACAGTTGGTAAGTTATGATCCAGAAGTTTGGAAAACTTGATTTTTGAGATTTGTTGAGTAGATAAGAAATATCTGTAGATAGAAAGTCTAAATCTGAAGAAAAGATTAAACTAGTTAAAAACATACATAATAATATCAGCAATGACAATATTTTTAATTATTTTATTTTCTTGTTTTTTACATTCAATCACAGTACATCTTTAAAGCATATAGAATTATTAAAGCTCTTTTTTTTGTAATTTCAGGATTAAAAGCTGCAGAAGTATCATCACTTCCACCATCCATTGTCTTAGATGCCAAAGAAATCACAAGTCAAATTACAAGAGAAATTTTGGTAAGAATCATTTTAGCAATAAAAATCATTTGTTTTTCAAATTAAGGAAAATAACTTTTAGTATGCATTTTTATTATGGCCTTTAATCTAAATATATAATAACAATGAAGATATTTAAAATAAAAACCTAATTCCTAAGCTAAGAAAATAATTTTTATTTTTCAAAAGGTTTTTGGTTTGTTTTGTGATAACCATTTCCAGCAAATCAGTTAATAAGACAGGAGACAAAAGTTCAATTCCTACAATAATTATTGCTACACTAACTTTATGATGAGAAAATAAATCTGTTTAAAGTCAACATTAAAAATTAAAATCATAATGCACAAGATTTGTATTTCTAAATAGTTTCCAAAGCTCTCTTCTACATTATCATGTGTAAGCCTCATAACTCTTCATGTGGTAGTTAGGTCTTTCTAATAAAGATAATTAAAGTATTACTTTTATTCTTATTTGTATATGTTCACAGAGGTTAAATGATTTGTAAAGAAGCAATAGGTCTAACACTGAACTCACATCTGTTTACTCAAAATTTGGATTTTTTTTTCTTTCAAAAAATCATGTTGCTTTATATTATTTTAAAAATTCAGTGTGTTCAGTAAACTGAGCTAGGTATGACATGAAATTTTCTACAATAACAATTTTCTGTGAATTTCTTCCTCCTTTGAACTCCTGAACTGTCTCTGTGACTTCACTTGACTAATTATCCATTTGATTTCCTTTGTCAGCAATTTTGATAGTTTTGTACTTCTGAAGAACCTTTCATTACCTAATGTCTCAGATTTTATCTTGCCAAATTCCTATTATAGGCCATATCTCCATTAACTATTTAGGTTTAGCTTTCCTAATAATATTTGAAAAATATTCAAAACTAGGTAATTTTATCTTTTGCTAATGTATATATTCTGACTTTTAGTTGAATATTTTACCGGATAAGTTTTTTTGTTCTTTTATTGATCTCTGTGGCTTGTTTATAATAATCTTTTCAAAATATTTCCACCCTTTGTGAGCCCTTAATCTTCTCACTTTCTATAGATAATTCACTTCCTATACTTTTTTTTCATTAAGAGAGATTTTTCCTACAGGACACATGCTTGCCAGAGAGACAGAAAGCAAGAAATTATCTATCAGGGAGAATGGCCATGCTGCAATCCCTTCTCCTCCATTATTCTCTCAGGATCTTGGGCATGCATGCACATGCACCTAGCATGAGTTTTAAGCCACCCAGTCTGTGACCCAAACCACAGTGGAGTCCAGCGATGTAATCATTATGCCATCTTCTGGTCCTACTCCCTATAATTTTTAAGATAGTAAAAATCATCCTGATGAGTCTTTGAACCTTCCTTCAAAATTCTGTAGGGTTTTCTATTTTTCACCCATGTTTCATCCCTCTTATCTCAGAGGAAGAAATTACTTTTTAGGCTTTTTTTTTTTTTTAAGTTACTTATTTCTTCTATGAGCAAGACAGAGAGACTGTACCTCTAATCAGGTCTTAATACTGCAATTCATCCCAATGTCAACTGGTTCCAGATCATGGACTTGTGTATGCCTGGTTTAGGTGAACCCAGGCTTTCCCATTTGGGTCAGCCTTGCAGAGCATTTTACTGCTGTGCCATTGTCTTGCCCCCCCCTTAACACAAATTAAGATGAACTTTTCTACCTTATTTTCATTTCCATTAAAATATTAGTTCTTGGTTTCTTTTTTACTCTTCTGTATCCTTAGTGTTTTCTTCACTGGCTTTTCCTTTTTTCCCTACTTCTCAAACTATTATCATATTTCTTTTTTTGCTACAGAGTTATTAAGAGTTATTACTTTTGGGACCAGCAGTTGGCATAATGGCTATGTTGCTGGATTCCCATGTAGTCGACTGCGGTTCGAGTCCCGGACCCGTTGCCTTAAACTCACACTGGACATGTGTGTGTGTGCATGCCCAAGATCCTGAGAGGAGAATGGAGGAGAAGGGATTGCAGCATTGCCATCCCTTCTGAGGGGTGATTTCTCGCTTTCTGTCTCTCTCTCTGTCTCTGGCGAGCGCATATGCCCTATAGCAAAAACCTCTCAAATAAAAAAAGAGTTATTACTTTTAATTAATAAGTCTTTTTAAATTTTATCTGTAAGACTGTAAGTATCTTAAGTTCTTGCTACCATGCCTGGTATACGTTTTTATATTTCCCTTAGATATATAAACACAAACTTTGGTGCCTGGAACATAGATGAGGATAGATGTTCAATAATAAAATAATAAAGTAATTGGTAATTACTCTATGTATCAAATAGATAGGTTTTAAATATATGAAAATCTTGTTTTGCTTTGTTTTGCAAGAAATTTGACCTTATCAGCAGATTTTTTTATTAAAAGTGATTTTTAAACATATAAAGATATGTCATAAAGTAGTACATAGGGGAAGCACTCAGCACTCATCTCCTCTGCATTGAAGGCATAATATAAAACTTATTTAGACACATTTTGACAGGAATTTCTAAGGAACACCTGAAACTACAAAGGAAAGATATGAATCTTGCTAATTTTTTCTATAGTGGAAATAGAAAAATATCTGGAGTTGCCTGCTATTCAGAAAGAATTGAAGGGATTATTTTGGGTATTTTTTCTATCTTCTATGCAAATATGTGCCATGACTTTCTGACAATCCAGTATTTCTGGGAAACTCAGAGTTGCCATGAACAGTTAATATTTAAAATGCTGACTCCTCTGTCTTGTTTAGGCAAAAAGATGAATTAAGAATTTTCCAGCTCTATTCCTAATCTCAAAGTACTATTCAGGACTTAATATTTAAAAGTCTTCTATATCCCTATTTTAGGTATTATTTCATGAGTATTCTTAAGTTTGTTAAAAGTCAAAGTGTAATTTCAAATAGCTACTTATGTTGTTTATTTTTAAAATGCAATTTACCCCTCAAGCAATATTTCCTTTCAGATTCCAACAATTTTTATATGTGAACTCTCTTTGGGGGTAAGTGGTTTTCTCATGACCTATTCTTTCCATCAGTTTATCTTTTGGACACTAAAAGCTGGAGGCATCACAGTAGTACTCTTGTGTGACATTTAAAATTATGATTACTGGGCCAGCAGGTAGCATGGTTTTAAGATGCTGGACTCCCACATGGCCACATGATTTGAGTCTGGGACCCAGCAGCTCGAAAATCACACTGAGTGTGTATGTATGTGTGCCCAAAATACTGAGAGGAGAATGAAGAAGAAAGAATTGCAGCAAGGTCATCCCTTTTAGGAGGGTGGTTTCTCACTTTTCTTATGTCTGTCTCTGTTTATTTCACTCTGGTGAGTGTCCTATGGCAAAAACTTTTAAAAAGTTAAATAATTATAATTACTGCAAAGCAATGACCTGTGCTATTTTCTCATATCTTGTTAATGAGAAAGTGTTTATAAACCTATTTCTGGTAGCTTTTCTGTTCTTTCTGGTATTGTGCTGAGAAATTTGACCTATTTAGCAGTTTTTGTTTTTTTTTTTTTTTTTTTGAAAGTGATTTTCAAGCACCTAAGGAAATTTCATAAAATAGTACATAGAGGAAGCACTCAGTATTTGTCTCCTCTGCAATGAAGGCATAAAATAATACTTATTTAGGCATGTTTTGACTGGAATTTCTAAGGAGCACCTGAAACCATAACAGAAAGATCTGAAATTTTTTGAAATGTGAAAACTCAAGAGAAACAGAACAGAAAGGGAATAGATATACCCAGCCATCTAATATCTCAGTCTGGACTCAGTGTCAGTGGAAGCTCTGCTTCACTGGGAAAAGGTGAACTAGATATCTTTAAGATGCTCTGATACTAGCTACCTGGGAAACTAGCACTCTGTGTGGCGCCAGCCCCAGTGAAGGGAAGTTCTGAGAACTACAAGGGTGTAAAACTCCAGGGAGGATCTCTCCTTGGTTATCTCCAACTCTTAGGATGTAAGCTGCTACCTTGCAGCACCATTTTGAGAACAGAGTTACTGTTGAAGTGAAACCTGCACCAAGGACTTATGCCCTGTATTTTCTCAAATCTCTGATAACCCACTGAAATTCCACCAGGCTCACGTAAGGAGCTGCAGTAATTACTCCAGATACACTGGGCATTAGAGTTGTGACCCTGGCACCCAAGTTAATGCAATATTGTAGACTCTGAAATGAAAAATGAAGCATTGCAAAACCACAGAAATACAAAAATTAAAGATCATTATGAACAACTATATGCCAAGAAACTGAAAACTTTAGATGAAATAAACTCCTAGATACATACAACTAACCAAAGCTGAACAAAAAAGAAAGATAAAACCAGAATAGACAAATAATAACAAATGAAATTGAATCAGTAATTAAGTATTTCAATAAAAGTCCAAGACAATATGTCTGATGAATTCTATAGAATTTTTAAAGAGCTAATACCAATATACCTCAAACTATCCCAAAAACTTGAAGTGGAAGGAATCATTCCATACTCATTCTACAAAACCAACATTCCTTTGGTACCAACACCAGACTAACACACAATTAAAAAAAAAAAAAAAAGAAGAAAGAAAACTACAAACATCCCTAATGAGCATAGATGTAAAAATCCTCAACAAATATTACAAATCAACTCCATAGCTCATCAAAAGGTTATACACCATGACTAAGCAAATTTTATATAAGGGATGTGATAATGGTTCAACATATGTGAATTCATAAATGTTATACATGATATTGACAAAGTGAAGGATGAAAACCAAATGATCATCTTGATAGATGTGGAAGAAGCATTTGACAAAATATATCTCTTTATGGTAAAAGTGTTCAATAGGGATCAGCAGATGGCATAATGTTTACGTTGCTGAACTCCCACATGGTTGACCACGATGTGACTTACAGATCTAGTACCTTGAAACTTAAACACCGGATGCATCTGTGTGTATGCTTTAAATCCCGAGAGAAGAATGAAGGAGAAGGGATTGTGGCCTGACCATCTCTGCTGGAGGTGATTTCTTGCTTTCTGTCTCTGTCTCTCT